TATCCTGCTAGTGGGTTTTACATATTGAAATTATTTAACCCAAGGTTTCCCTGTTTCATTATATATATATATATATATATATATATATATATATATATATATATGGGACTCTACACACACAGATGGGCCCTACGGCTGTCAGAACGCTATCACAGGCCTGCTATGTCTGTGCCCCATTGATTGGCCTGCTCTGTCTGTGCCTATTTGATTGGCCAGTGATGTCTGTGCCCATTCATTTGGCCTGCTAGGCATGTGCCTTTCTGACGGGCCTTCTCTATCGGTGCCGAACCCCATTTTGGCCACAGGCCTGGAAGAATATCACTGAGGAAAACCCAGTACCCACTAGTGACATGGAGATAGGTGGGTGTCCAGTCAAGCACCGATGCCATACTATCCAAGATGACACCAGTATACAGCCACCTGAGTATGGTGGGAAGGGTGAAGGCCCTAAACCTCATGCCTGAAGGGCAAGGTTTTTTATGAAGACCCCTGGCACACAACCATGGTTTACACCAGCCCAGCGGCGGCACATCTCCAAGGAGAACTTTGCACAGGCAGGGACCAGTACTCAGACGCCTACAGGGGGACACAGTGTTTCCTTGTCTTTAACAATTAACCCTCTAGCTGCCTCTCGGTATCCATCTAGATATCAGTAGTTATTCCTGCGTAAGGTAAGCTCCTGGCCCTGTTCAGTGGGGCTTACTTGACTTGCCTTCTGGCCTGCTTCTGGCCTGCTATTTACCGTCTATCCAAGATACGTATTTACCCTTATCTACATTTATGATTGTTTTTGTTTTCGTGCCTTCCTTTTCCTATCGCTCGGGTCGTCGAGAGGCCTGACTTGACCTCTTCCGACCTCCCGGGCTCTTGTGGATTGCAGAGAACGTCTCCAGCTTTCCTCAGGCTACCGACAGTCATCCTGGACCCTGCGCGCGTGCACGGGATCTGGGCGGTCAGTTGGTAGTTTCCATCATTGTTTCCGAAGGTTGCATTTTCGCACCATCCCTTTCTGTTATTAAGGATTGACACGGCCCGAGGTTGTATACTATCCCATCTGCCATCGGTCTGGTTTACTACCAGTTGTTTCCTTCTCAGGTGAGCGATTCATAGAGAGGTCTCGTGGTCGGAGAGAGACGCACCTCAGGACCTCAGTCTTATGCTGATATTAGTAAATGGTGTACCCCTGCGGTTGGTCACCCTGAGTCTCTAAGGAACTCTAGTTTGGATCACAAGAGGGTGCGGCCCTCCATCACCTCGATCCAAGAATGATATTTTATTTTCAGGAACAGAGAGCAAACCCCTCTCATATATGGAACCTGACACTGATTTGTTATTAGAGGGCGCTGCCCTCCCTCAACCTCAGCCCGATACTGAGCTGGATGCAGAGGACATGTTTGGACTGACACATTTTCATAGAGAGAACCGGTCACGGATGTAGACTCTACTGTTTGGTTATTAACGGGTGCGGCCCACTCAGGCTATCAGCCGGACGCTGACACGGAATTCGGTCACATTATTAGAAAGCGCGGCTCTCTCATAGACTCAACGCTCTACGGTGCCGTCCATTTGTTCATCACACAGGCTTGTACCTGTACAGGACAACGATGACTGCATAGAGGGGCGTCCCTCCTGCATTCAATTAGATCTAACGACCGTGCTACCTATTTCGTTATAGATGGCTGCCTGATCATGCAGGATATGCATATTTAGACTGGATCCCTCTATTTCATCTCTTGTAATGGATTTACTGGATCCAGACTACTGTACCACACGCGAGAAATACTCACAGAAGTATAACGGGGGAGACTCCAGCTTATTTACACACACTCCTGGAGACGGTACGGCTAATGGATGAGCCTCAGGTATTACAAGAGGGCAGGTTTTGGTAGATTTTGCGCTAAATAAAACAGACAATTGCATTCTGTTTTGGACATCTGGACCATTGCGAACAAACTGCGCAGACAGTTTTTCCCATATCAAGATGACATGAGATACTGAGACCTTCATGGAGCAAACGGGCACTGGCTTGCTCGTGTAACAAGACTAGGGAAGGCCCACTACCCAGTCTGCAGGTACACCGTACGCATGGATCGCACGGTAAGACCGGAAACCCCGGTTGTCTTGAGTTCCCTGGTCATTACAATCTTGGGATAAGATGGCAGGACTGCCCCTACTCCTCTGAACATATACCTGGAGGACATGGTTTGGAGAGGGAGGGCCCTCTGCCTATACTCTATATCCCTCACGGGAGCCATCTTGGTTTGGGTTCGCGCTAGCCCACTTTTTCAACTACCATCAAGGAGACCTACGAAACTCTATGGAGGAACCCGATGTGCCCTGACTCCTACACGGACGTCAATGTCAGGTCGCAACCTACCGGTGGAGTACGGCTCAGGATGTGTAGCAGACTCAGATAGGGCTGCCGACATTCTCAAACGGGACAGCACATGATTCGAACAGCTGATGCTGGACCCTTCTTTTTTCACTAAATCTGCTCTATGGAGTCACCTGTCGTGAATGAAGGGACTTTACGCCTTGCCTGCGTATTGGAGAGCGCTATGTGAACGCGGGACTCCAAGCTAAGAAGGGAGGTATCCCTCTATAGGGAGACTTTGACTTCGATTATTGAACTCACATTCTTGGGTCCCTTGACCTATGGCCTACTCTGGGAGATATGTGCCCGGACAGTCAGGGGTACAGGGACCTAAGGGTCTCACTATATTATAGGTAGGTGGCGTGTAGACCAGGAACCCCTACATGAATTTTGAAAGGTCGGGCAGGGAACAAGATCGTACGACGGGTAATCGGACTCTTTCACTCTCTCACTATAGCACCTGAGGACGTTGTTATACAGGTCCCAATCACCATTGGATCCGTACATCTTATCACTCTTAGATGATGACATCTGGATGGAAATCTCAACTCCGGTTTATGTTTTCCATACCTTTGAATATCCGGGACCACCGTTCCACCACACAAGTTCAGTTTGGGACCCTGATTGGACGCTCTTTTTGGAGTCCTTTCTCTACCGCAGCCAAGGATTACACAGTCCATTTGGAATACTGGAATCACTTAGGATACGGCTAGTTTGACCACACTCTTGCCTGCATAATAAATGTATTCTCGGATAGAGACATCTCACCGGGTAGGCCATGAGGGAACGAAAGATCCTACTCGGTTCTGTTACGGAATTGGTGGTAGACTTAGGCGCATTCCTTGAGATTGGAGATGTACCTGCAAGGCCACATCGCTGGGTGACCCTGGCACGATCGGAGGAGCCACCTTCCACATCAAGAGTTGAGACATGGTGGCACAAATGACCTTCGACATTTTACAACTATAGGAAAAAATGGCTAATAGGTCAGCTTGGCAGCTCATGGACCGGCTGGTAGGAAACAGGTCACTACCCCACGTACAATGGATCTATCAGCGCATGGTGTTTTTTCCATATTTGGGATGCTTATCGCAGTTGGAAAGTCCATTTAGGATTGCTCGGATAGCTCCCGGAATTAATATTAAGGTACTTTTGGTTGCTACATTGGGTACCTACATGTTTATTCAGAATACATTTCATTGGATAATCAACCTGTTCGATTCTGTTTTTCTCTCGTTTCAGTTTACAGTCTGTAAAAAAACTAGATGAATGGATGTTCAATGTTGATGATTCTTAATTTCTTCTTATCTTCAGTTGATTGATATATATACGTCTTTTGTATATATAATCTTGGGCCAAATGCTCGCCACAATAATATATGTCTATATTATTGAAAAGTAGTAATACGCAATCTGACTTCCGGTTTCTTCCGGTTTATTCTTTGTTACGGATACATAATAAAGCATAATAAATGATGTTACAGGATTATAGACATTCAACAGCAGATGGTAATTGCTGGACTTCTGATGGGAGAGTTACATCGTTGTACAGAGCCAAGCCAAGACAAGACTAGACTGAGAGACCTCGTGTCCCTCTGTTACTATATAGAAGTGCTAATACTAACGTCAGCATATAACTCTAGCCATATAAGGACAAAACCCCCACATCCACATTCCAGAGCTCTCGGACAAAGAAAGCCTTGTGACTTATTGATACCATCTGTTACTTATGTCAATCCACACATCCATATATATAATCAATAGAAACATAGAATATGCAATATTCTACATTCCCTCTGTTTATGGTTTGTTTTAAAACCATAACACAATGTAACTAACCTGTCCATTCATACATCACTTGTATCACATTCATTGAGCATAGAACAAGATGAAGTCACAAATTTCTATTATATGAGAGTTCTTGGAAGGTCGAGTTTCTATCCCTTATACTGCTTACTTTACTTCAAACTCCCTTTGTTTCAGCTATGTATTGATATCCATATCCATGTTACATCATAGCTACTTGAACATAATATTTACATATAACAATAATAAATGAATAAAATACAATATTTACAAATGTTGATCCAATAAACAATAAAGCAATCAGAAAGATCTACCTGCTCAGGTACAGTCATATCTTTGTAGCAAACAAAATCAAGATGATAACTTTCTAAATAATAATAACTGTGTATCACTATCATATTCCTACAGACACATATATAGTATAGTATTTTCATTCTCAAT